ATAATTTCAACTAAATTAATAGGCTTATTTCTAATAAATAACAATAGTTTAATCTCTCGTAATTATTGAAAAATTATAGCAAAAATACACAATTATTAAAAATATATTGATAATTAAAAATACAATAATTACAAAAATTACAAAAATACAATAAGTACTAAAAACATATTAACTTAGTCAATGAATAGTATAATCTCTACTAAATATTAATCAATAACTTATAAAAAACACAATAAATACAATATGTACAATAAACTAAATTTAAAAATTTCAATAATAGTAATTTAATCTCCAATAATTATTAAAAGTTTTCTATTAAATAACTTTAACAAATTAAATTTATACATACTTATTGAAAATACATTTATCACAAAAGATAATAAATATTAGTTTTAGTATATGTAATTATATAATAAATATAGATTAAGAGTTTAAAATTATTATTAATAAATATTATTTTTTCTAAAAGTTATTTTCTTGAATTAATACTTGATATAAGTGGAATTAATTATTTATAATATTATATAAAAATATTAAATTATTATTAATTTCAATATTATGTTATAATTATTTTTCTACTTTTTATATATATTTTTAAATTTATTTATTTTAACTATTTAAAATCTAGTTATGTTAAATATTTTGTTATTTAAATACTTAAATAATATGTAAAATATTTAAATTTTAAAACATCAATTATTTATTGAATTTAATTTTCCATAAAATCATAATTTATACTATGATTACATAATTTCATTTATTACATAATTTTAAAACATCAAATATTTTGTTATACTTATTTTTATACTTTGAAGATATTTTTTAAATTTATTACATAATTTCGTTATTTTAACTATTTAAAATCTAGCTATGATAAATATTTAGTTATTTAAATATTTAAATAATCTATAAATTATTTAAAATTTTTTGTTATTTGAATTTTATTTATTTAAAGCTATTAAATATTATTAAATATTTAAAAAACATTTAAATTGATAATCCAAAAAAACATAATTTAAATTGTTAGTACATAATTTCGTGATATACTTTGTAAAAATATAATATTATTTTTTGTATTTTTAATAAATATTTTATAATTTTGTTAGAACATTTAAATAATTATTAAATTTTTTAATTCAAACTTTCTTTAGATAGATATAGATACAAAGTATGGGAGAGGATAAATAGGAATTAGAGATAATTTAGAAGAGAAAGTCTCTACTAAATTAGAGATAGTTTTGGAGATAAATAGGAATTAGAGATAATTTAGAAGATAAATAAGAATTAGAGATAATTTTGGAGAAAGTGGAGGATCGTGGGGGAGGTAGTTTAGGAGTAATTTTAGGAGAAGAGATTATTTAGGTTATTGGGAGAGTGCATCTCATTGGTTATTTAAAAAATGACATGGAATTAAGAAAAAGAAAAAAATTCAAAAAAAGGAGAAAATAGATAAATAACTTCTCTCAAAGGAGAGACGTGCTGACATGGCAGGACCAATTTTAATATATATAATATATAGATTATTAAAAGGGACAATTTTTTTTTCTGTCCAAGCATTGACAATCAAGGTTCAAAATATCGTTACAAGGCAATACACCGATAGAGAATATCGACCTGTACCAGTAATGTTTATTTGTTTTTGTTTTTAATTTTTTTCGAATTTGGTTTAAAGGGGCCGGTTTAAGGCCGATCTACCCCCTGAACCACTCACTGACCCAAAACACCCCCTGTAGGGGCGTATTGGAAAGGTTTGATATGATATGTATTGGCGATACGTGACGAAATTTTGATTTGACAACTTTCCCCAAAGTGGAAAAATTATTTACCCACCTTGGTCTTGCTCATTCGTTTAAGTGATACCAAAAAAAAATAATTTTTCTACATAAATCTAAAAAAAACATGGGTATCTTGATCAATCAGAACCAAAATCCCATAGACCGACTTTCTCCCTCTCAAGATAAAAAAAAAAAATAGAAAAGACCCTTAAGGAAAACCTATGATGCTGAAAAAGCTTTGACCAACGAAAATCCCCCAGCATAAATTCTAATTGATTGGTTAAGACTTTTATGATACTGGTTGATTGGTTATAAATCTTTCTAGTATCATGTCTTTTTGGCATCCTAGTCGAACACTTTCTTTGATTCCAAAAAAGAGTCTTATTGGTTAATAATAATTATTCTCCTGGGCCTTTTTGTCAATGCACCTGAAAAAAAAAAGACAAAACTCCTCAATACTAAAGCTTCGATAAAAATCCCCTTGCCTGAGCTGGGCGGGATAACTTTAATTGGAGTATTAATAGTATTCAAAAATCCGATTTCGAATTCGATATTCAACATAATCGAATCGAGTTCGAATAATTCAAATATCTAACCGGTCGAATTCGAATATCCTATTCTTATCGAATAGTTAATCGGATTCAAATTCAGATATGACCTAATTTGATTCAATAAATATCACGATTCAACCGATTATTTAATTCTTGTATATAATATATAAAATATTTTATATAATTTATATATGATAATTAAGTTATAAATATTTTATATATTTATATACTTTATATCAATAAAATATTTATTTTATATACTTATTAATTATCTAAAATAATTAATTAATCAAATTTTTGAATATTTAATCAAATTTGAAATTGGATATTAATTTTCCATATCCTTTGAATATCGTATCGAATTCGGATATCAGATTTTTTAATCGAATTCGAATTTGGATTGCCTGATCCGATTCAAATTCAATCTGTTTACACCTCTAAACTTTAGTTGTTAGAGGCTTGTTGAGAGAGTTAAGGGCTGAATACGTTCACCCATTCATATGCCCATGTCTATCCTTTTGATCAAAAGGAAATAGGGGACAATTACTCTTTTACACCACTCTGGTAAATGTGACATTCCCAAGAATGTACTCAACAGCATAGACTGTTGTCCCCCAACAGCTAAAGTTTTTCGAAGGAGAGCTGGGTTGGGATTCTTTGAAGTTTGACGATGCGTGTAAGATAGGAATGGAAATGAGGCGAGGTGGGGACAGGGAACCTCTCCCCATCCCTGTCCTCGCAAAAATCCCCATCCCCGTCCCCATCCCTGCTAACGGGGACAAGGTTATCCCCATCCCCATCCCCACGGGGATCCTATCCTCGTGAGGATCCCCATTCCCATGATTCTTTGTAATGCTAACCATTTTGTTTTTGTTTTTTATTTTATTTAAAAAATAAAAATAAAATAATTAACATTTACAATCGTATTAAAAAATATTCAACCATATTTTTAAAAATATTAATATATAGATGTATATTTACATATTTACATATATACATATATACATATATATTAGTGAAGATCCCATGAAGCGAGGATCGAGATCACCGCGAAGCGAGGAGTGTTCTCCCCGTCCCCGCTAACGGGAATGAAAATTTCTCCATCCCCGTCTCCACAGGGGGAAAATCATCCCCATCCTTACCCCATTCAGAGCGGATCGCCACGGAGATCGAAGAAATGGAAAAAATTTCCATCCCTACTAGCGTAATGAGAACTGGATTCACCTTCCCCAAATGGATGTGGATCAGTGGATGGACGGCCCAAATGTTTTTTAGATTTGGTAATGACTCATTTGGAATTCTGCCATCATTTACCGCTCCGCTCCACAGGAACAGGACCAACAGCAAGAGTTTTTTTTTTTTTTTTTTGTGCGTGTAAGAGAGAGAAACAGAATGAGAAACACAACGTAGGTGCCTCAGAGTCGGATCAAATCAGACTGTTATTGCTGTAACATTACGCAGGGCCAGGGCCTCTCAGCGGGGGTGGGCCTAAGGCTGCATTCACCTCGTTAAGAATGAATATTCAGTCAATCCACGTCCACCCACCAGGCACCAGCTGCCGTGGGCCACAATTTTCCATCCCCGTCCACCTTACATGATGCATGAATAATGAAGGGCCTCTAACTAAAATGTACTTTTCTAGCTTTCTATATGTTCATCGACATCGATCAGACATAAATAATAGACCATATATCAAAGGGTTGGACTGTATAGACGATCTGCTACTGTTGTAATAGTCACATATCTGGTTTATGTGTATACAACAGCGACCTGACACTTTTTACCAAGTATCCATTACGGCTGTGTTTGGTTTGAAAGAAAAAGTAGGGAAGGAAGGGAAACCCTACCCTTTTCTTTCAAACCAAACACAGCCTAAATTATTGTTCATTGATATGATCTCTCTGTGGGCCTTCTGCTTTACCAAGAGACTGGTCGCGGCTAAGACGGTCCAAGTCCCACAGTACCTCTGGTATCGGGTTGATGTTTCGGGATCACTTGCGGTAAGGTTGTATATGCAAGGTGCATGCCAATTCCTGCCTCTAGCTCCCTGGCAACTGAAGATTCAACAAGGGCTGAGATCATCGTCAATGCATTAGAATTGCAGAGGGTTCCTAATCCAACTTCTCACTCGGTTATTTACAGCTCTAGATCAGCGAATCAGGTTGCATGCTCTTCGGCTCAGTTTGCGGTGTCTAGTTCTAGAATTTTCACCTGGTCTCTTACTCCAATGGACTTTCCGAGTGGTTGATGAATGAAACTGGGCTACGGGGTTTCCTCAAAAAAAAGATTAGTCTGGATCTGTGAGCCTGTTGTATTTGTTGCTGTGCCAGTCTGTTTTGGTTGTGATGGTCCCATATAGAGATAGATATTCCGTAGCATCAGTCCAGGATTTCAGGCCGACAGCCCAACACCCCATTTGAAGGTGTCGGCTTGCATCGTTTGGTAAGGCCCTGAACCCCAGCCCAGTCCCAATTTAAGCTCTAATTGCTGCCCAGTGACCACCAGCCAAAGAAGGAAAAACAAGGAGAGGAAACAAGTAGAAATACTACTTTTACTACTATAATCAATCATATATCTCAAAATGGCGCTTAATTTCTTAACTCGGATGCAAGGGAGGCATTATGGTTACCACAACATTGCTGCATTTAGAAAGTAGAACTACTATGCAAACTGGTTAAGATAAAATCTTGTAGATTTCAAACCAGGATCCTTTTGATCCTTTTTCTGCCATTAAAACCAAAATCATCCATGCATTCTTAGCCCATTTGACCTAATCACATGTATCGTAATTTGACATTATTACATTAAGCTCACTGCTTTTGAAATTTAAAATTTAAACACTTGAGCACACCACCTATCGCCCCATTCAATCGACTTTGTCTGTGTGTATCAACTGTTAAAGGCTCCCAAACCCACTTGCATCCCCTCACAAACATTCAATTATGAGAAAATTAAGAATTTATGCTGCACAGGAATTAAGAAGTGTCGTCATATTTATGGTTCCATACAAGAATGCAATGAAGCAAAATGATATCCTGCTAGGTTTTCATCTTCTCACTCTTCAATCATCACAAACCAAAACAGCGTTCACTTAATGACTTAAAATAGATAATGGCTTACCACCCTTGGCTTTAGATTCGAAAATCCAAGAAGTCAGGAACTTTTAATCCTCGTTGCTCAATCCCAAGGCTGGCAAATCCACACGCGGAAGCTCTGGCATTTTTAGAGAGGGGAGTGAAGGGGCTTCAGTCTGTGTGTTCTGTTCTGCATCCCGCTCATTCTTGCCCCTACCCATTATCATCCCCGTGACCACATTTCCAACTGATCTAAAAGGGTGGCTTAATTTATCCTTAACCATCAGAATAAGTGAGACCTCAGATAGCTGCCAAGCGGCAGTGAGAAAAATCATGATAGAAAGAAGCCAGTGAGTGATAGAATTTTGTCTCCTCACTTTCTTTATCTCTTCCAATATCTCTTCACTGTCCATTCCTCTGCTTCCATTACTTGGTATATTTACATACTCATCTTTTACCCCTACTTTAACTACTGCAGATGAGGGTAAGTCTTTTGTTTCTGTTGGTGATTCAGATGGCTTCAAAGCATTGTCCTCTTTTAATGATTCCAGCTGTTTTAGGAGTGAACAGAGTTGGAGAATTAAAATTTGTAACAGATTATGTCTATAATCCACATCTTCATAACCAATGTTCCATCGAGTATAGTTTTACAGTCTTTATTTGAAAACCTTGGAAAATGTATGTAGTCTGAGTGAAAGATAGAAGTACTCCGAAGTTATTCTTTATTATGAAGTCAATACCAACACCGAAATCATTGGTTATTAGATATGACACGAGTTTCCACATTTAGCTATTCTATATATTCTTCTCACTGGCTACAGGTTCAATATCCAATAGACATGTATATTCTCACGGAAAACCTGAGAAAAGGGAAAGGTGAAATTTACATGTAGGAAAAGTCTACAAGTACATCAAAACATATCTTTATTTCTAAAGTTTTGCTCATTTATTTCCAGTGAAGCTTTCTCCAAAATCTTATCTTTATGGGTTATTAGTTATTACCTAATTATTAGTTAATTTTGTAATAAATTATCTTAATATTCACATAGTAAACTTCTAGTTCAACAATTTTTTTTCCTAATAGGGTTTAAATTTTAGGGAAATTGTCTAAAACTCACCATGAGTTTTCAGCATCTCTCTTAAATTCACAACTTTTCAAAATGTCTAAAACTCACCATGTCAATAAGTTTTTATTTTCCAAAACTCACCTTCTGTTAGTGCACCGTTAATGCTTCTTAATAGAGGTGTCCACATCAGCATAAATAACAATTTCATGACCAAATTACCCTTAAATGGCGAGTTAGAGGAAAAGGGTGCACCATTACCCTTAAATGGCGAGTTCGAGTTTTTTTTGTCTTTTTCAGTTTTCAATTTTCTTTTTTTTTGCATTTTTAGTGTTTTGTTATAATTTCCAATGTTTTTTATAATTTCTGTTTTTTTTTCACATTTTCTATTTTCTACAATCTATAAATTTTCCTGTATTTTTTGTTATTTATTTGCAATTTCTGTGTTTTTCTATAACTTTTGATGTTTTCTACAACTTTTATTTTCTGATTTTGTTTTTCAATTTCTATAGTTTCTATAATTTGAAAATAATTTTTTATTTTGTTTGCAATTTTTATAATTTTATATTTTTTTTTGTAATTTCTATGTTTTTATGTATTTTATATTTGAAAATATTTTTTTTGAAAAATTTCCTTTTTTTCATGTCTAAATATTAAAATATATATGTATATATTTTATGTTTATCTATGAAGGTTAAAATAGTAATATATTAACACCCATTAGTCTGTTTAACGTCAAGTTAGTGACATGGTGAGTTTTAAACATTTTGAAAAGTTGTGAGTTTAAGAGAAATGCGAAAAACTCATAGTGAGTTGTAGACAATTTCCCTAAATTTTAAGACCTAAGACTGCAAACATTGTTTTCCTTCATTATGTAGGTACACTCCATTTTTTTCCAAGAAATGGGAACTGAAAACAATTCCACACTGAAATGTTGATCTATTTCTTTGCCCCTTTTATGGTGAAAGTGTTGTTTGCCCCCTTAATACATCAAGGCAATCATAGCCTAAGGTTCAATTGGAACATTTGAAATATGGATGTCAATGCATAACCAATTTGAAAACAGGTCCAGCCTCAATTTTTTTTTTAAAGGAAGTATCTGAGCTTTCTTTATTGAGATACCACAGTTTTGCATGTCTTCTCTATTCCAAAGGGTCAGACATGGATGAGAAAAAATAGCCAGCGTCAAACTAGGAGAAATGCTTGAATGGAAATGCTGCTTCGCAATCAAAACTGCCTATTCTATGGATAAAGTTCTGAACTATTGGAATGTGTCCATGAATTCTAACATTCAGTATGGAAATTGTTAACTAATTCATTGTCTATAAGGATATCTCTAATTCATTGTGAAAGCATATCAGATATCAACTGTTTTTGAGATTGAAAATGTGGAGCAACTATTATTAAGATGCTTGTTGGCAAGAGATATGTGATTTGGAACTAAATTTGGGTGGAATCAGGATAAAGTTAAAATGTGACAATGATATATTGACTAGCTACAGCACCTCTAAGAAGAAGCGACCTGTTGCAAGTTGAAGGGGCTAGAAGGGATAGGGGCAAACAAAAAGGATATGGTGTAAAGTAGCAAGAGATGATTTAAACACTCATAATTTATCAATGGATATGGAACTAATGAGAACTGAATGGTGAAACAGGATTCATGCAGCCAACCCATGTAGTTGGGATAAAGGCTTAGATAACTAGCTGAGAGAGTGCAGGCAATAAGAAAAGCAGTTGAAGAAGAAATTTTGAATTTAAGATTTACTGTGATAGTATTAGGGTAGTTTTAGAGCGTAAGAATCAAGAAGGTGTTTGCAAAAGAGCTAGGAGATCCAATTTTCTGAAGAAAGGCAGGGAGTTAGAGGTGAACAACATAGATATATGTGTCTAACTTGATGTAATTTCAAGAAGCATAAAGTTGCAGATGCATGCATTTGTATTGCTAAATACAAGACTTTCTTGAGGAGTGTTGTAATCCCAACTCAGGTGTCGATGGCAGATGCTTTGGAATGTTGGGCTTTGAAGGAGGCATTCATGTCGCTGTGAATGCAGGATGACTAAAAGATTATGGTGTTTGGGGACTCTCTTAATATCAAAAACTTGATGGACTAAACAGCTTCTGTGGGAAGTATAATACGATCATTGTAGATACACGGCACCTCTCTACTTGATCCTTCATGTGAATTTTTCTCATACCAGTGGATCAGGAAATCAATGCTTTAAATTTAGACCATAAACAAGAACAGTTAGATTCCTAATTGTGTTTCTGAAATGTCTGGAAGTTATTTGTCATTAGCAAATAATTTCTTTTACTCTAGAATTCTGACAACCATTAGGTCAAATATGGAACTTAGCTAATGTAAAAAACTATTTACTTATGGATCTACAGCATAATATAATGCCAAATTCCCCCTCCTCTAAAAGTAAAGAAAAAAAAAAAAAGAATCTGGTTGCACTTGCAAAGCAATGAGGGATAAGACTAATATCAACACCTAACAGATAAAAAACTCAAAATATGAATCTCATGACATGGATAATAATTCCAGATGTATCGAACTAAATCTCTGACCAACAACCAAAATCCTTAATACTCAAAGCCTACAGTCCATGTGAACATTCAGGATTATTTTGCAGAATTAGCTAGGCAATAAACGACGACTGGTTTCTAATCCTGGGAATCTCAGAGGGAAGGGCCATTGACGGTTGGTACTCACGAAAAATGTATTATCTAACACGTAACAATATATTTCCTTATTTTTTTTTTCCTTTCTACCGAAGAAGAGATGTATTATCTATAAGTTCCAGTACTCAGTTTCAGATTCATGACGCTCCTTGAGGAAAATTATAAAATCCAAAATAACAGCAAAATAGTAACACAAGGATGAATGAATTTCTAACAAATTACATACACAAAGCAATGCCAGATCCTGAATACAGGACATATAAATTCACCAAAATTAAGAGTCGGTAAAATTTTAATTCACAAATTAAAGAAAAAGAAGAAAAAGGGGGGGAGTTGACTAAGAAATTGATCATGGGAGAAAAGGGAAAAAGGGAGCCCCGAATGTTAAAAAGGATGCGTATAACAGAGATATGCATGTTTCTTTAACATGGCTATACTGTATATGGACACTCAACTTACGTTTAGATGCTTAACGACAAAGGAGACTGGCTTAAATTACCTGGGAAAGCAATCTGGAGAGCAACATCTGATCATCATCATCGTCACTGTCGTCGGCTGCGACCAAGCTATTGCCAGTGGATTTCTGCCGGTCTACTCTGTTCTTCTTTAGGAGCTGCTGGATTGCCTGGTGTATGAGCTTGACCTCAGTGTTCGCATGGATACTCTCGTTATCCTTCGTCTCCGTAGCCATGCCTGGAACTGGAACTCTGGAAGTCGACCCGATCAGCAACAATCTATCCTACGGCTACGAGCAAAACCAACTCGGAGTGAGTGACAGTACATTTTCGACACACGTGTCAATGCAGTTTTTTTTTATTGCGTTGAAACTTGAAACGTGGCGGAATCAGCTTTGGGCATCCGATTTTTACTGCCACCGCCGGTTCCGGTGCCAACTGATACAGCGATACGTATACGGTTACCGTTCAACGCTGTAGCTAATTTGTCTGCGAATGACACGAATCTTTCTTTTGCTGAGTGGGTCCACCAATGAGCTCCGCAGGACACATAAGCAGAACTGCAGAAAGATCGGATGAGTTGTCGCCGACGGTAGGGCTGTCAATTGACCAGATATTCCAATCCGATCTGATCTAATATTAGTATTACAAATGGATCAGGTCTAGACCTGTTCATGGGCCGGGCCGGGTCGGGCTGAATAGAGAGTGAGTGAGAGAGAAATTATAAAGAAAAAAAGTATATATTAAATTATAAATATATATATTTTAATAAATATTATATTATTTATATATTTTATATGATATATAAAATACATAATTTATAAAATATATAATGCTAAGTTGGGTCGGTCTTTTTTGACAAATCCCAAGCCCGGCCCGTAACACAGTCGAGCTTACTGTGTTAGGCCCGAGGTCAGGCCCGTGGGTCTAATTACATGACCAAGTCTAACAGGGGTGCGGGCCAGGCCGGGCTGGGCCATCGGGCTACCCAGCCCATGAACAGGTCTAATCAGGTCCAATTCAGCCCGATGAATACTTTGAACCAATTTGAACCGGTTCAATTCACTGTTTGGACCGCCCTCAAATTGGTTTTAATTTAAATAGAGTCCAACCCAAACCTGATCCATTGACACCCATGCTCTTTATCTTCTTCTAGTGGACCTGATCCATTTGTCCAATCGAATTAATACTTTGAACCATTTAACTCTGGACTGGTTCAATTCAATGTCCTATTGATCCATCCAACCTATTCAAATTGGTTTTGATTCAGAAGGATACAACCCAAACCCGGTCCATTGATGCCCCTACTCTAAAGTAGTGATTCATAGATAACTCCGTGCCTGATACACACAATTACGAACGACATTCAAAATTTTGCTTTAAAGCTTACAGAAAGACTGGTTAGGTAATGGGGCGATTCATAATGAAAATTGAACCAAATATGACCTAAATTAATCAGGATTCTTGGGACTAAGTTTCTAATTAATTGAATTTCTTCAAGTAACAGACTTACTTTTGGTTGAAAAATGAAACGTGTACAGGATTAAGAATTTGAAGGTTTTTGTTTGGTTTCTGTGAAAAATCTATCTCTGCTTCAACTTTTAGGTCTTATTCTTAGGCTTCCCATATTCCAAAAGATAATCTTTTGATGTTCAAGAGCCAGACTGGTTCAACAGTTGGGCAGACGGGCAGACGCACCTGGTAGATGGCCCACCAATTTCGATCCCAAATTCCCAATGAGAACTAGTTTTGGAGTTGAAAAAATGACGAAATACATAGCATCTTTATCTTATCTGTTCTAACTCCTACGCGATAATCAGCTTGATTTTAATTGTCGACTCGAGCCTTATATAATGAACCATTCACCTTTATCTGCGAACGGCAGAGAGAGTTACTTCCATATTTCAGCTATAAATCGGAAGCGCAAGAATGGTATATATTGGCTCAAGGACTCTCATGGTGAGTGGTGCCCTGACCCAGAGGTAATTGAAGCCTTATTAATTTATTTTAAATCCATCTTTACTTCTGTTAATCCGGCTTCTGATGATCTCAACAAACATGTTTTATTTTGGACCTAAATTGGTTCATTACTTAGACTTGAGAAGAGGGAGAATGGAGGACGAGGGAAGGTTCAGAGTAGTAGGAAGGTGGTGGTCTGAGGTGTTGATCGAAGCCAAGACTTTCAAGTTCGAAGAGGAAAGGATCAAAGGTGAGGACGTATTGAAAATCAGAGAGAATAACAAGGCGACTGTGTTGGTGTCAAAGGAGGTCATGGTCTGGTTGAAAGGTTTCATAGATGGTATATCAACTCTGGCAAGGTGATTGGATGGACAAATTCAATGGCTGTCCCAGGTAAGAAATATGTAATAGAGTTGAAAAGAAACAGAAAGGGATGGTTTATCTCTGTGGTGGAGTTTTTTCGAACAAGTGGAAAGTAATTGCTGTGTGTGCCAGAAGGGAGGCTACGGAAAGGGTGGATGGACTTTGTGAAGGTGCTACAGTCTTTTCTTGTAGCCTTGGAAGTGAAGAGAGAAGAGGGAGTGAAGAGAAATGGTAAAAAATCCAAAGACCAGGGTAAAAAAGCTCAGGAGGGGGCAGTTTTGATTAGTTCCT